TAGCAGCTCCTAAATACCTAAGTAAATAGTACTTGGGTATTTAGCAGCTCCTAAATACCTAAGTAAATAGTACTTTGGTATTTACAACAACACAAAATACCTAAATACTTTTGTACTTAGTACTTAATACTTAGTAAATACAATTTTGCCCATCACTGGTCAAAATATTGGTACAATACAGCGATGTTCTATTGAAAAATTTTAACAAATTAATTTTCGTGATTGGGATAAAGAAAAATACTTTGGGTGTTCACACAATTATTAGTTATTTTTGGACTTTTATCATTTTGAGCAAATAATACCGGTTATTTCTGCTTTTTATTTTTTTAAGGCAAAAATAAAAGTAAAAATTTGCCTTTAATTTTTTTTAGAAGAAAATAATCGGTAATTGTTGGCTTTTATTTTTGCCTGAAAAGGTTAAAAATCAAGTATTCCAGAGCAGAAAATAATAGGTAATTGTTGACTTTTATTTTTACCTGAAAAAGTTAAAAATCAAGTATTCCAGAGCTGTGTATATTGGAATGTAATAGTTTTGAAGCTCCTACATGTATTAAAACAGAAGAGGTGCCAAATGAAAGGGCTAGGCCTGCAGATGTGCAAGAAGGTCTCAGTTTTTTGAATAGGGTTGCCACCTGCTTCTAAACAGAAGACTTATACCTTTCGTTGTATTAAAAAGAAGAGGTGACAAATAGAAGGGCTGGGCCTGTAGATGTGCAAGAAGGCTTCAGTTTTTTTAATAGGGTTACCACCTGCTTCTAAAATCGTAAGACTTACACCGTTAGCCCAATTTAAAAAAAGGTGCCATGTAAACGGGCTTGATCAAAAGATTTGCAAGAAAGAACGTCTTATTTCTTTGAAAAGTGTAGCCGCCTAATAAATTTTTATTTTTGGGAAGAGCAACAGATTTACACCATTCTGATGCGTTTCCAAATGAGATGTCAGATGAGAAATATTGACTTACAGACCTGTTTTGGGTTTTTAAAGGGTTGCCGCCTAATTGAAAATGCATTGTCTAAATTTGATAGTTAGTAAAATGTCACAATATGGGCATCAAGCGAAAGGGGTTTGAGACTAAATTAATATGTTGGTGTTTTTAATAGAGTTACCACTTATTAAACAAAGTTATAACTATGAATGGTAAGTAATGTGTTAAGGACATTCGATATTGCTATCAAACAAAAGCTGGTTAAGAGGTAAGAGGGCTTTTCTGTAATTGTATGCGAATTTTCGATGGTTGTCATATAGTTTCTAATTTATTGATTGAAATATTCTAGTTAATTAAAATGTTGCAAAGTGGGCTCCAGACGAAAAGATTTTAAACTAAATTAATATGATCGTGTTTTTAATATACATATGTAGTTGCCACCGAATTAAAAAAATGGTGCACGTATTGATATAATATTTAAAGCTATCTAATATTGATATCAAACGAAAGGAAATTGGGTGAGCTTCTGCGATATTTATTTAAAAAGTTTATAACTATGAGCGGTAAGTAATTTATTAATGATATCCAATTATGTATCAAAAGGAAAAGAAGTGATGTTTTACAAAGATATATTTGTTCGAGGGTTGCCACTTAGTTAAAAATTTACTGAAAGTAAATTATAACTGATCATTAAATATTTATTTATATTACGATACATACAAGTTTTTGGAAAACTAAAAAATATATAAATGTTACATAAATATAGAAGTACGAATTGTTCGAAGGCTACACTTTTCAAAGAAATAAGACCTTCTTTCTTGCAAATCTTTAGATCAAGCCCTAACGGTGTTATGATTTTAGAAGCAGGGTGTAACCCTATTCAAAAAACTGAAACCTTCTTGCACATCTACAGGCCCAGCCCTTCTATTTGTCACCTCTTCTATTTTAATACAACGAACGGTGTAAGTCATCTATTTTTGATATCAAAAATTTTAAAATAACTTTTATTTTCAGTCTCTGGTATGTACATGTTTTAGCAGAACATATGTAGGCACTTATTTTATTTTAACACTCATACGTTATATTGAGTAGAATTTGTAGAAATATGTATCGAAACTGTAATTATTCCTAATCACTAACTAATACTAGCTATATAATATATTCCTACAAAATGGTTTTTGCTTTATCTTTCCGGGAAATTGACATTAGCCGTGTTTTATTTGTCCAGAAATTTAAGCTATTAGCTTATTTTGTATGGAAGACTTACCCAACATAGTTATATTTACTTCTTTTTGGTTGTTTGTGTTTCCAACAGGGTAGGAGTATGATGTGTTGTGGAACGATTTTCCGTCATCCCTTGTCAAATTTGGTTTGGAGACAAACCGGTTTCGGCATTGTGCCATCTTCAGTGTAATTTTTCGTTTCGGATGACGGAAAATCGTTCCACAATACATCATAATTATATTGGCTTATGAAAAGCTATCTTGGCTTGTATATTGAACAAGAGGCATTGCCATTCAGCATCAGAAATTTTCTCCTTCAGATTTAGCTATTTGCTTGTGATGGTTGAATAAAACATGCCTATTATCGATTGATCGAATCACGGATAATCGACGGAGCAATGTATTAATAAACAAATTTTTACATAGTTTAATACACTTGTGCAATACACTTATTTAAACTAACCAATTTTAGTCTAACTCTTCAATTTTTCGCAGTTAATTACTAGAAAAATAAAAGGCGATCTGGATAAAGTGGATCTAAATATTTTTATACATCGAGCAATTGATTTAGTGAGGAAGGGTGATTTCGATTGGCAGAACGTTGAAGACGAATGTAATGTCATTGTATTTGGGGTAATTTATTAATTATTTAATGGCTTGATTTAATGTATTAAAAATATGCTTAAATATACATAACATAGGCTTTCGAAACAACTTCGAATACCGTCATTTACATACTTATGTTCATAGCGATGTTTCCGCAATATCAGGAAAAATTATATGAGGAAATCATGTCCATATTTTCAACTAAAGATGATGTTGAAGTTTCCTACAGTGACATACAGCAGATGGTTTATTTGGATATGGTAATCAACGAAACAATGCGTGTTATGGCTCCAGTACCGTTGGTGGCAAGACAAACCGAAAGCGAAGTTCAGCTAAGTAATGGTGTTACAATTCCAAAGGGATTACAAGTGGCAATTGACGTCTTCAATATGCATCGCCGCATGGATATTTGGGGACCGGAAGCACACATATTTAACCCAGATAACTTTTTACCCTCTAATTTGAATGATAAACATCCATATGCATTTATACCGTTCACAAAAGGAATTCGAAACTGCATTGGTAAGTATTACCGTTATACGGAACCTACTCAATAGTCTGGTCGATAAAATTGACAGTGATTACACGGTTCTAAAAAAAAATCCCGAAATACACACGAAGCAAAACTTATTGTAGGCTGTATGTAAGGTCGAGTAAAACATGGACATAGGTTTCTTATGGTTCCTGAAACCTTCGTTTCCATCTTCGATATATGTGCCAACATATCGTCACCTGAAATGCAAAAGGACTTAACAAACATCATCGCTGAAATGCAAAAAGTCATAACTACTAAAAATTCAAAATTCACTTTTTGATTTATTTCAGTTGCGATGTTTTTAAGTCTTTTTGCATTTCAGGTGACGATATATAAAAATGGATCGTGGTTTGTTTGTGGATGCTTGAAACTTGAAAACGACCGAACGAAATTGGATACCTTCTTCTGCGGGTTTGTTCGTAATTGCCACCCGAAGTTTTAAGAAAAGAGAAATTTTGAGAGTTGCCACGTGTTTGAAAATTTCAGTATAAGTAAATTGATAAAATAAAGTAAATATTACAATATGGGTGTCAAAAGAAAGAGATTTAAGAGGGCTTACCTGGTTTGAAAATTTTAATTAAACAAAACTGATAAGATAGATTATATATTACAATATGGGTATCAAACTAAAGAGGTTTAGAAAACCTATTAAAGAATTTATGTTTGAGAAGGGTTGCCAACTGTTTGGAAAGTTTAATTCGCCTAAATTGAAAAGATAAGTTAAATATTACAAAGTCGGCATCAAATTAAAGAGGTATAAGAAAGTTTACTGTTGAAAATAATTTAAGGGCGGGTTGGCTCCTATTTATAAAATGTACTTAAATTAAATATATAAGATACACTAAATATTACAATAACGGTACCAAATCAAATGTACTTGTTTGAAAACTTTTAGATTAAGAAATATTTTCAATGGGCTGTCACCTATTTAAACAGTAAAAACTAAAAACATTAACAGTATTGAAGTTATATGATATATTAAAATACGAGCAATTACCTGGCGTGCTTCGCTGCGCCTTAAATGTATTTTTGTGTTGTAAAATCATTTAGTCTAGACGTAACTTAATTTAACTTACCGTAAGAAATCATCAATAATTACTCAAAACGTGAACTGAAGCCAGAAGCGGAAATATTTTGTTTTTCTGTTTTCTTTTTCAGCTGTTTGACAGTTTGCCACCTAAAATGCCACATCAAAATAATGCATGCAAAAAATACGTGTGCGTACATTTATTTTTGAGAATAACGAAAATCTGGCAAGCCTGATTCTCTCACCGCTCTCAATTTCCGTAAGACCGTAACTTAAGAATCTAAAACGTACAAGTTCTTAGGTTTCTTACGGTAAGTCATGTTTTAACTAACCGCCTTACAGGCTAACCTAATATTCACGCACACCGCCAATTTACTGTCAAAAATTTCTCATGCACATATTTACAGCTTGTATGGGACTAACCGAAATTGTACGGCGTACGTATGAAGCTAACTCAATTTCCACTTTTTGTTCTGCGTGACATTTTGATTTGACGTTTCGCTCAATGAAATCAAACGCAAACGCACGCAAGCCGATTTCGGGTGACGCAAAAAAAAAACAAATTCGACGGCGTGCGTACCAAAACGCAAGCCGCGAATATTACGTTAGCCTGTTAAATGTACTTTTGTGTTGTAAGTCTCTCCCAAAACGCACTTTTCCTTTTTCAATCTCATAAATGGTTTATAATGACTTTTGCTAACATTTCATATTCAAAACTAATAAAAAAAAATTCTATGGGACTGAGAAATATTATTTTCTAGTTTTTAATCCATTTATAAAAGCGTGGTACATTAAAAAGTTGTTTATTATATTTATTTTCTACTTTTTAGTCTTGTCTGTATAAAATTTTGCAATAGATTTTAAAATAATTCAACGATATTATCCCTAAAGACTAGTTATCAACTGGGCCCCCCGAACCTAAGTCGTTCCCAAGTCACTCCACCAAATTCACCCGCAGACAATTTTTTGCTGGGCTATGCGTTACATCTTCGCAAATTCTACCACTACCGATACCAAAGATGTATACACATCAATAATTCAACGAAATTCTGATACATAAGTATTGTATTTTATCAGACTTTATTTATATTCTCTTTCAACATACGAACATGCATATACACTCTATAACATTTGTATAAAATTAAGACTACAATAGGGGTAAATTTGTTTAAATTATTTTGGTGTCCAAAAATTGGGAATTTTTGCTCCTAATTATGTTAAAAAAAATTGTCTAATATTCTTATAAAAAATGTGTAATATTTACGTTTACAACCAAAATGTCGAAATTTTATGCACGAAGTGTCTAAAAGCTCACATGATTAATTAATTAATTAATCCCAACGGCTTTTTACCCACCACTCCCGCCCAACCGTCACGAGGGGCGCAGTCCGCATGACGTACGGAACTTTTTTTTTTAATTTTTTGGTGTCGAGTAGTGGAAACAGGAGTTTGTTAAGTGTCGAGATCTAAAACTATTCAGCTACAGAATCAAATTCATCAGCTGATTGGATATGCTAAAGATAGTATTTCAATTATTGAGAGTGGAAATAATAGTTTTCTTTATAGTAGAAATCGAGTCCGATATGTCAAACGGGCTGCAATGAGAGTTAAAATCTTGACATCAACCACGGAATGATTCGTTTCCCTGTAGGGAAACGAACTAGTGCGGAACTGGTTCGGTTCTAGTGCGTTTGGAACCATGACTAGTACGCGTTAATTCTCTTTTGCATGCTAGCGACTGGCGAGTTTAACATTGCGATGTCCTAGGAAGTGTCAATTGTCCCCCGTTGCATCCCTTTGGCTCTAGTTCCGAACCAGTTCTAAATTCGACAGATAAGATCTAGTTCATTTTGTATCGCTTTTTCTATAGTTCCGAACCAGTTCCAAATTCGACAGATGAGATCTAGTTCGTTCTGCATCCCCTTTTCTTTAGTTCCAAAGAAGTTCCTAATTCGACAGACAGTTCGATCTGCATCCATTTTTTATAGTTCCCAACCTGTTATAAATTCGTCACCTTAGATCTACANAAGTTCCTAATTCGACAGACAGTTCGATCTGCATCCATTTTTTATAGTTCCCAACCTGTTATCAATTCGTCACCTTAGATCTACACTTCTAATCATGCTTGTCGAAACATTTCCCTTTTATATTAAATACGATCGGGAAATGTTTAAACGCATTTATTAAAAATTTATAAACCCCATTAGTAGTAGTAGTAGTATTAAACTTAAGTAGTATGTAAAAAAACAAAAGTGCGTACTGCTTAAAAGTAAAAATATTAGTTACCTTTGTCTTACTTGTCTAAATTTAAGCATATTGATTTTTAAGTAAATT